GCAGGTCGAGGCTGTGGTGGCCGGGAGTGGCCACTGCACTCCAGTCTGGGCGACAGAGTGAGACTCCAACTCAAAAAGAAAAAAAAAGAAAAGAAAAATGCAGAAGCTGAAACCGGAAGCCAGACTCAAGGCTTCCTGCCTGCTCTCTCCAACACACGGCCCACATTCTCTGAGTCACAGGCATTCCAGAGACCAGTGTGAGTACCACACTCTACCTCTGGCTCTTGGACTAGACCCTTCAGTTCAGAGCATCCCTGGGTCACAATGTACCACAGACACAGAAGGGTACGGGGTGCTGCAGAAATAATGAAATGCAGCATTCCTGACGCTGGACAGCTGAGAGATCAAGTGAAAAATTCTCCTGAATAAAATCTTCACAAACATCTGAGCCACAGGTGGTATACTAGTGCACAGTTCAAACGCGGTGAATGAAGGGAGACGCGTGTATCCTGAAGCACTAAACGAGTAGGTCATTTGTTATCCCTGAACCTTTCAAATGACAAAAGGGAAATTCTGCTTTCACCTGCTCCCAATCCTGCCAAAATCAAGCACAAAGAGCCTCTGTCTCCCAGCCCCGCAGAGAAAGTTCAGCTTTCCACATTCCCCTCTGGCAGCATGGAGCTAACAACCTCAGTGCAGAGCTCAAGCTCCGAGAAATGGGTCAGGAGAGTGCTACATCGTGAAGGCCTCAGGCGGCCTTTTTCTTAAATGTATATGGCAAATGTCCCAAAATTAACAGGAGCTAAACTGGAGAGACATGCAGGACTTGGTCACTCATGATTATTCCGACTGGTCCAAGTGATGGCCAGAGCACCATTAACAGCATGTGCTTAATACAGGAATCTCTCAAGACGGGTGGACCCACCATCCAGGACGCTGATCGCCACATTCCAATAGCAGCTTTTGCAAACTCCGTTTCCTCACAGCATGGGGATGAGATGGTGAGAGGTTCACCTCATGTGCTGACTCTAAGTGCTTCGGGGTGGAAGAACACAAAGCTATGTTTGGAAGGAGTGCAGTGATTGCTTAGTGACGTCTGTCACGAGTGCAGGAGTAAGAAGTGGGATGGGTGCTGGCTGATTGTGAGGAAAGAACCCTAACCTGTGCATCAGGAAACCTGACCTTTTCATCAGCTCCTGTGTCCTCGGCTCTGCCTTTTATAAAAGGAATCTAAGAGATGGGGTGTTTTCATGGAGGGTGTGCAGGTATGTTTCAGATGCCCTAAGAATTCCCACAAATGGAATGCACAACTTTATGGGTATACTATAAGCATTTATAAGTTTGCTAACACAGAATCCATACTTTTGATCAGAATCTCAAAAGGGGTAAATAATCCAAAGAAAGTTAAAAACAACTAACTCTTTCTTACTGCCAACATTCCATCACCCCCAGAAGGCACCCTATATCTGGTACAGGCCCTTGGACACTAGATGCAGGGAACTAGATGCAGCCAGTCACAAAGGGCTTTTGGCCTAGGTATCAACCTGCTAGGAGAAAAAGGAGGGTGTCTCACATGCATTCCCAGCCCTGGTTAAAGACGTCACCACCTCGGTCTGAGCTCTGCTATGTAGGAACAGAGCTTCCTTCCCAGTCACTGGGCCCCGGCTGACTCCCAGCTAGGTGAGAATCTTCTGCGTAGACATTGATCGAGGGAGGCCATTGATAAGCTTTCAACCCAGGTAAGGGAAATATTTGTGCTAAGGTATCATTTGAGGATGAAAAATAAGAAGGCCGGGGTACCTCATTTCTGTCCAAATGCAATTTTTAAATTACCAGCCTAACTCAGGGTTTCTCAGTCTTGGCGTTATAGATGTTTTGGGCCAGACAAAAACTTCACTGCGGGGAGCTGCCTTGTGTATTGCAGGGTGTTCAGCAGTATTCCTGGCCTCCACCCTCTAGATGCCAGTAGCAGCCTTCCCCTAAACTGCGAGAAACAAAACTCTCTCTAATGTAGCTAAAGGTCTCCTGGGGGCAAGGCTGCTCCCCCTTGGGCACCACTGGCAGAGTTGAATGAGGTTCCACCTGCAAGGGGGACAATTCTGTTTTCCCTGCATTTGCTGGCACGTGTCCTCTGAATAGCTGTGTACTGGAGGCTTTGTGTTTCTCGTTTTATGTGTTTTTAGAAGTGACTAGGGAGACGCTGCCATGAACAGACAATGGGTGTGCACAGCAAGTGACCCGCAGGTGGCCAAAATCCTTTTAGAAAGCAAGCTATACCTAGTGATGAGCCAGACCTACAGTTGCGTCTGTCTTAGAAGGAAATAATCCAAAATAATAATTTGCAAAAGATAAAACATTTTACAGCTATACGAATTTTTAAATATATAATCCAAGTATGTGAAAAAAATCATTTAAATGTCTATGGTGACTGCAGTTAAGTAAGAAACACCTATGAACCAGGTCATGGATTGGAGAGAAGTTGGGAAAAAGAACAGACACCTGAGGGTGGGCCCTGGGTGGGGCTTTCTTGAATCCCAAGTTTCCCAAGCTTTACTCACATTGTTCTTATGAGAAAAAAGCGGGAGGAAATAAACAGACTACAACTCTATTCTCTGCCTTGTAAACTGGTTTTTATTACCTTCCTAATGGGTTTAGTTCACTTTTAAAACGGTTACTGCTTTGTTCTGATTACAAAAGTACTCTATTCTCACTGCAGAAATTTGGGGAAACACCGAAAAATCTAAAAAAAAAAAAAAAATGCCATCACCTAGCAATAAACTGCCTTCATATTTTGCCATCAGGCTGTTGACTTAGCCAGTACACCTGCAATTTATAGAGTTTTAAGTTACATTTTAAAGTATATTGAGTAAATCACTTCCCACTGAGCACCGCTCTGTGTGGGGGTATGTGTGTGTAGGTACCTTTTTGGTGTTATGAGCCTAATGCTTACCCATGGCTTTCAGAGGCACCACTGACACAAAATGAAAAACAGAATTTGAAAGGGCATGACTTCTTGAAGGGACTGTTCCTTTCCCAGAGCCCTGCCCAGACGGAAGGTGCGTGCTCCAGCCCAGGAAGAGAGAGTGGAGGGTCGGTCTCGCTCCGTTCCCTTGGCTTAAACCTGTGGCTTAAACCTGAGAGTACCATGTGATTCTAAGACACACTCACAGGTCGTAGGAGAACTTCCTCTCCAGGTTGGTCTGGTTCTTCTGGAACTGGAGGACGTCCTGCTGCAGCCTGCCATAATTCCTCTGCAGGGTCTTCAACTGGTCTAAGCCAAGAGGAGAACAGTTCATGGAAGAGGTCACCAGCACGGCTGTCATGCATTCAGCCAGACACAGCAAAGGCAAACTCACGCATCCGAACACAAACGGCAGGGAGACGGAGGGACCACGGAGAGCACAGAGTAAGGGCAGGGAACACAGCCCCTCCCGGCAGTCCCGACCCCCGAGGCTCGGAGGTGCTCGGAAGGTCAGCATCCTCACTCTCCTCCAAGTGCCTCTTGCCTCCGCCGAGGGCTCCAACCCGTAACGCACATTAGGAGCATCTATCTGGCTACTTCTTTCTCAGACCTCGCAGGTCCTAGGCTGTCCCCAAAGGTCAGACATACCACTGTGTCTGGTACCCAGCAGGCTTATCCTTCCGTTTGTAAAACACTGACTTCAACGCTGGGTCCGATCATCAGCCAGCTATGCCAGACACCCTGCTCTGAGCCCCAGGTCACATGCCAGCATCCTTTGTCACTAACTCACAGCCAAGCTACTCTCCATGGCCCTGTGCTTAGCTAATCACCCAGCCCTCTCATCAGGAAACTGCGGCTCTCTTTGAGGAAATTCTTAGCCCTGTCCATGCTGCCCTGACGACTCGGCTCAGGAAAGCTCTGTGGAAAGGGCTGCGGCTGACAAAGAGCCAAGCTTTGCGGAAAGAAAGGCTGCTATGAGGTGACACCAGAGTAGGCAACAGCAGCAGCCCGGGCCGAAACACAACCCGGGACAGGCCAGGACACATGCCGCTGCCGCCGTCCCCAAGGACTGTCCTCACAACACTAGACTTATGAGACTCTCTGGGGGAAAATGAAATAAAACAAAACAGAGAATCCTTGAACTATGGAAACACACAACAACAGGGACCAATTTCAAAAGCGCATATGGGACATCCTTGAAAAGACAGAGCCTCAGTGAGTGCCTGAGGCCCGGGTGGGGGAGTAGACTGACCACACGGAGCTTGAGATGGGGGGTGGCGGCGTATCCTGGAGCAGTCGGCAGTGGCAGTGGCCTGTGAGACTAAGGATCTGTTAGAACTTACTCAACTTTACACTATGAAACTTTCTTGTATATATACTTCAATCAACCTAACTGAAAAAGATTCCACAATCAAAGTATGAGAAAATGGAATACTACTCAGCAAAAAAAAAAAAAACTACTGATATCCATAACAACACGGATAAACCCACAAATAATTATGTTGAGTGAAAGAAACCAGACACGAAAAAAGGTATGGATGGTCTGATTCTGTGTGTGTGTGTATATACACACAATTATTAGAAGCATAGCGCATGTCTGTAGTTCCGGCTACTTGGAAGGCTGAGGCGGAAGGATCGCCAGAGCCCAGGAGGTCAACGTTGGAGTGACCGTGAGTGTGCCACGGCACTCCAGCTTGGGCGACAGAGTGAGACTCCAACTCAAGAAAAGAAAGTGCAAACTAATCTACAAAGCAGATCCGAAGTTGCATGGGGTGGGATGGGAACGATCACCAAGGGGCACAAGGAAACTTTCGGAGGTGATGAGTGTATTCGCTATACTGACTTTGGTGGCCATTACTTGACAGGCTGTATCAAAACTTGTCAACTGTACACCTTTGTGTACTTTATTGCATGTCAAAGATGCATAATCAAAGCTGTTTAAAAATACTAAGTAGAGGACAGGCTGCAGGGCGTGTCTCAGCTGGTTGCAAGCTCTGAGCAGCCCCCAGTGAGGCAACCTCTTTTATATTGTGTAACCCTACATTTCCCCAAAACAAATTTGGCAAAGTCACCCTTTTTCACAAAAGGCCTACTAATATTCTTAGTACCTGAGTTAGAACTAGAATTCTAAACTAGTGCTGTCCAACATGCAAGCCACCCTGGGAAATTTTAATTTACTAGTAACCACATTTTAAAAAAGTAAATGATATTTACCCCAACAGATACAAAATATCCTCATGCAACAAATAATGACTATAAAAACTATGAATGAGATATTTTAATTTCTCTTTTTTCATACTAAGTGAAATGTGGTGGGTTTTTCACCATGATAGCACATCTCAATTCATTGTTAAATTTTCATTATAAAGTCCTGAATGGCATTTAGATTTTATAAAACTTACAGTTGAGAAGTGGACTGATACACCTAACTGCCCCAAACATACTTAAGTTTCTCAATAACCAAGTTAAGTGCCAGCTTGAAATTACTGAAAATTTAACAAAGATTAAAGATCCAGTTCTTCTGTTCTGCTTGCCAAGTCACCTGCTCATCAGCCACACGGGGTTTGTGGATACTGCATGGACCGTGTAGCTCGAGACTGACTGTCCCACTTTGGAGAGGTGGAAACTGAGGCTCCAGGACTTATGGGCACTTCCTGATCAGGACCAGTGCTCCTTTCACCATGTTCTCAGGCCACGCTGGATCTGCTGACTTCCCGCCCCGCCAGAAAGGAGGAGCACCCCACAGGAGGCTGTCACCCCATTTCCTGCCCCTCCACTTCTTCAGAAGGAGCCAAAGGAAAACGAATGCCCAGCCGCCACAACTGAGTTGGAGCAGCAAAGAAATGGAAGTGAAGAGGGCTGGGCAGGTTTTACAAGTGTCATGAAGAAAACCTAAATTCAGGGTGAGCTAATGAAAACAAGTCCCATACACATACTGTACATGTATACAACAGATCACATATGTATATCATACTTCTTAACACGTTCATAAGAGTCTGGACTCTTCTTTCTTTTTTCTGAGTTGAGGGTCTCACTTTGCCACCCAGGCTAGAGTGCAGTGGCACGCTCACAGCTCACTATAGCCTCGACCTCCCAGGCTCAGGTAATCCTTCCGCCTCAGCCTCCTGGGCAGCAGGACTGCAGGTGTACACTGCCATGCCTGGATAATTTTTTGATTTTTTTTTTGTAGAGACTAGGCCTCACTGTGTTGCCTAAGCTTGTCTTGAACTCCTGGGCTCAAGCGATTCTCCCGCTTTGGCCTCCCAAAGTGCTGGGATTACAGGCATGAGCCAGTACACCCAGCACACTCTTCTGTACATAACAGCTTGCAATGCATTCAGAGCTTTTTTTTTTTAGTTGGAGTCTCACTCTTGTCGCCCAGGCTGGAGTGCAGGGGCACACTCACAGCCACCACAGCCTCAACCAGCTGGGCTTAGATGAGCCTTCTGCCTCAGCCTTCCAAGCAGCTGGAACTACAGATGCACGTCACCACACCCGGCTAGTTTTTGTGCTTTATTGTGAGATAAGGTCTCACCAAGTTGCCGGGGCTGGTCTCGAACCCCTGGGCTCAAGCAATCCTCTTGCCTAACCTCCCAAAGTGCTGGGATTACAGGCTGAGCCACTGTGCCCGGCTGAATTTTTTTTTTTTATAAAGAAAAGCCTCTTAAGGAGTTAAGAGGCAAAAAGAACAGACTACAGATTGCTCAATTACTCATAACAACTCCAAGCACAGGATGATAAGCCAAAGTAAGGATCTGCAAAGGCATAGAGAATGGTATAATGGACAATGAGGTCTCAGAAGAAGGAGGGGGAAAAGGGTGGAGAGATGAAACATCCGCTATTGGGTCCAATGTGCACAGGCCGGGGGTGGTGGGTACACTCAAAGTCCAGACAAAGTGAAGAGAAAAAGACTTACCTTGCAGGACTCGGATGAGCCTCTCGCCGGTGGTGATGTTATTCACCAGAACTGCCTGCAAGGAAAGTGAGTGCAAGATGAAACACCCGCACCCCAACATCTCGGAAAGACCTGTGTGTTGGAAACGGGGGAACGGACCCCCACCTCCACCCACCCAGCCCCAAGCCTCTGCCAGGGAAGGTGCTCTCTGGCTGGACTGCCGATACCCGCAGCTGACAAGAAACACACCAGACCTGCTTTCCCACCCCAACCTGCAGCCTGCAGCCTGCAGCCTGAGAAGGCAGGCACGGGATCTCCGCTCTATTCCAGGCCCAGGAAGACCCAGCCAGGCCCGGACCCTTCCTGCCCCCGTCCCGCAGGGGTTCTGGGCACCTGGAAGGTTGTCGAGCAACCCACACCCCACTGCACGGTCCGTTCCTTAGCCAGAAACCAGACGCTGAATCCAACCAGCCAGAAGGAAAAAGGAAAGCGAGTGTGTGGGCACTCCATGCCCGGGGCCTCCGGATGCATTTCAATTCCTGGCCTGGCTTCTCCTGCCTCAGAGCTGATAAGCTTAGGGGATGGCGGATTTCACACACAGTTAGTTACACCACGCTGGGAAAGACTACAGCAGGAGAGGAGGGCAGAAGCCACACAGGACTCAAGGTGACAGAAGTGGAAAGTAAGAAGAGTGAGTGTGGATTAGCACAGCAACCGGCCAACCACACAGAGGAAACACTCATGCCAGGGCCTCTACTCAGCACGTCCCATTATTTGCTCACTTACTCTTCTTAACAGGGGTACAGGGTGCTAGTAGATGATTCCATTTTAGGGGCCAGGAAATTGAGGCGCAGATCGCAGAAGTAGCTCGAGGTCACCCGCCTATTAAGAGGTAAAGCCAAACACCAGCTCCGACAGGATGAAAACATTCTCAAGCTCGGCCACATGACATGTAAACATGAGGGGGACCCCCAAAAAACCAGAATTATCATTTGGAGGCTTCCCCCACCAGGTGAGTGTTCTTGGAACCCATCGGCATCAGTGCACCAGCTACCATTTCTGTGAGAGGCCATGTTCTGCCTCACTGAATGTTTCTGTGGCAGACAGGTGACTGGTTCTTCCACCATGACAGTGCACCTGCCCACACTGCACTGAGTGTTCAGTGGTTTTTAACCAAAAACGGCATGACCCCCGTGCCCCACCCTCTCGAGTCACCTGATCTCGCCCAGAGCGGCTTTCTTTTTGTTTCCCTGGATGGAAAAAACCCTCAGAGGGAAACAATTTGCCCATGTGGAAGAGGTGAGACCAAAAAATGGTGGAAGCACTAAAAGGCATCAAAATTGACAAGTTCAAAAACTGTCTGGAGCAGTGGAAAAAAATGTCCCAACAGGTGCATTGCATCAAACGGAAAGGATTTTGAAGGTGACTGAAGTCTAAACATGTAAGAATAAATGCACAATCTTTTATAATAAATTATAGGTATTTCCCCCTCCCATATATGCCACACCACTGAACTGTAAACTTGGATTTCCAACTTGCACAGGTAGTAAAATCATGTTCCATTTGAACCTTAGCACCAAAACAAAACAAAAAAGGAACATTTAAATGACTTTATGCTGATCAGCCCAAAGCTGTTATTTCCTGGATGAACCACAATACGAAATTACAGCGATGTGATTTGTTCCTTTTCCACCCATTCCCCTTAACTCCTCCCCAAAAAAATACATACGAGTTTGCAACTATCTGAGGGTTTAGAAACTGCTGCAATTTGAAATATCCGAAGATATTTCTGTCTCCATGTGACTGTATTCTTCCAAAGAAAATATAACTTCGTTATCTTCCCCCATCTATTTACTTATGCATGTAAAAATACAGCCTCTACTTAGCAAAATGAAAAACGGGTCATAAAATGCTATCAAGATCTTTTATACACAATTTCCCCACTACAGAAAATCTAGTTGAATCATTGTCAGGAAAACTATGAAACATTATAAAGAAGAAAAAAACCTTTAACTCAACAAAATTATTTTCAAATGAATTATGTATTCTCCTCTAAACAACAAGGTTGTTTTTCACATTTTAGTGCAGAGTGAACTTTGAGTGGCTGCACTTCCCAGTGTTTGCCAACTGTCCCCTGAGAACAGCCAGTCATAGACAAGGAGGCCGTTAGTGCCATCAAAATTTAAACCAGAAACTAAACTCAAAGACGTGAACCACCCACATGCAAGTTTATTATGACCATTCTGTTATGGAAAACAAGTGTATTTGATCAAACTGTTTCTGCATCAGATTCCCAGAAAAATAAGCTCAATGATTCATAATAAATTTCCAAAGCATCAAGTCTACAACACATTATCGCATTTTCAAAGCTCAATAAGATGTAGTGACATTTTAAAAAGCATTCCCAGAAGGCTCACTTGGAAGTGGGATGCTGATCACATCAGAGGTAGAAGGCAGCTTTTCCCACACTTGCTTGGTTCATTAAAATAATCCATCTGCTTTGAGAATGGGGAGCACCTTGACCTTCGGCCTTACTTAAAGAGGATTCTCATCCTCTCTAACCCCTGCCAACCTACTGTAATCAGGCACCTGGATAACCTCTTTGTGCTAAAAATCCTGTTACTGCCTCGGAGAGAGGAACCTTAAAATGCACAAGCTAATCTTACTGACCGGAGAATGACCCAGGAATGAGGGAAGAACGTGACGTGTTTACTGCCGTCTTCTCTTCCCAACCAATTTCAAAACTGTGATAGCCAACAGAAATAAAATGTCAGTTCCATGTGAAAATCTAAAATTTTTTAGTAGCCACATTCAATTAAGCAAAAAGAAACAGGTTGAGCGAAAGATTTGGACATTTCCCCAAAGAAGACCTATGGAGGGTCAATAAGTACGTGAAAGATGTTCAACATCGTTAGTCATCAGGTAAGTGCAAGTCAACATGAGAAGACCACTTCACACCCATCAGTATGGCTATAACTTTAAAACAAAAATAAGTGTTGACAAGTATGTAGAAAAACTAGAGAGAAACTAGGACCCTCCTACACAGATAATAAGAATGTAGAATGGTGCAGCCTATGTGTAAAAGTTTGCCAGTTTCTCAAAAAGTGAATCACGGGGCTACCATATGACCCAACAATCCCACACCCGCGTATATTCCCAAGAGAAAGGAAAATGTGTCTCCACACAAAACCTGTCCCCAAATGTTCACAGCAGAATTATTTACAACAGCCACAGGGTAGAAACAACCCTAACGACCATCAACAGATAACATTCATTCAGGGATAAACATTCATTCAGCCATAACAAGGAATGAAGTATTACTGACACAGGCTACAACATGGATGAGCCTGGAAAACCTTACACTAAGTGAAAGAAGCCAGACCCCAAAGGCCACACACCGTATGATTCCACTGATACGATATGTCTAGAACAGAAACAGAAAGTAGATCAGTAGCTGACAGGGGCTAGGGAAGGGGAAAGTAGGGAATGACTGCTTAATGGGTACATGTTGCTTTTTGGGGTGATGAAAATGTTCTGGAATTAGATAGTGATGATCCCTGCACAACCCTGTGGCCATACCCAAAACCACTGAGTTATACTGTATACTTTTAAATGGTTCAGACGTGAATGTTATATTATGTTATATAAATGTTATCCCGATTCCTCAAAAAACAGATGAAATTAAATGTGAATATTTTATTTATCCTAGTATATCCAAATTGTCATTTCAAGGTATAAGCCACATCACATACAAGCTAATAAGATATTTTATTCTTTTCACACTAGATCTTTACACTCCAGGACATTTATGCTTACAGCACCTCTCAATGGGGACATGTTTAGTGCCAACAGCCACCTGCAGCCAGGGACAGCACCAGGTCCTGAGGACTAAGAAGGGGAAGAGGGGAGAAGGGGAGGAGGGGACAGAGGGGGAGACAGCTTGAGCTGGTATCTCTTCTGACAAGGACACTACGCCCATCACGAGGGATGTGCATTTGCAGAGGTGAGCAAACGAGCGATCTACTCATGGCATCCTACTTCCCACATACTCACACAGACACTCATGCACAAATACCGACCAGAAAGCAACACGGACTCCCAAGTGCTTCAGGCCCGCAGTTCCCGAGCCAAGGACCAGATCACCGGATGCGAGTTCCCATAGAAACAAGGCTGGAGGCTGGAGGCTTGGTCGGCCAAAGCATTCTTCTCTTCACAGGAGCTCCTCTGGCCGGGTCGACTTGGAAGGGTGGCAGCGGGGCTGGGACAGGGCTGGGCGGGCAGGCCTGCCGCCCCCAGCCTCCCTGCCCCCCGACCTCTCCACCCTGTCCCGGGAAATGAAGCCACCAGCCTCTGTGACCCCGCGTTCCCTTGACCTCCACACTCCCCAGCTGATGCCGCTGTTCGGCGTGGAGGACGTGGGCTGGGACTGGGCCCCGCGAGGACACAGGAGGGCTCTGCACACCTGACTTCCACGAGGGGCCGAGGGAGGGGACCCTCAGAGAGGACAGCTGTCCCATGGCCATGACCCCAGGAGGAACTCCAGAGCTCAGCAAAGCCGTGCAGTCAGAGCCAGGAGGCAGGAAGGCAGCAGGCCTTCAGGCCGCAGGGTGGGGCTGGCCGTGGACCCTCCACGGAAGACCCCAGTGAGGGCAGGAGCCAGGGGCAGTGGAGATGACAACAGACCCTTCTGCAGGCACAGTTTTGGCAGCAGCACAGGAAGGCTCGGCGCCAGCCCACAGAGGAAGGGCCCGGGGAGAGAAAAAGAGGGCCGAGGTTTTGAAGTCACAGTTAAGAGCCTACTCCGGGGGTCAACGGAACACTGCAAGAGACAGCTGCAGGATGCTAGGAAGCACAGGGATTTGCAACTTGGGTTATTCAGGGTCCAGAAAATGGCAGGGACATGGGGGGCGGGGGGAGACAGAGAGAGACGGAAAGACAGAGAGCGAGAGTCGACGTGAGAGAAGGACTCAAGGTAAGAACATGAACGTGTAGAAAACGTGATGCCAAGGGAAGCAGCAGACATACGTGGATGAGGGGTCCAGGATTCCACCTGCCTACAGTCCAGTTGAATTCACA